CTCACACACACACACTCACACACACTCACACACTCACACACACACACACACACACACACACACATTTTTTTTTTTTGAAGACAGGGCTTCTCTAACAGCCCTGGCTTTATTGGAACTCTCTTTGTAGAGCAGGCTAGCCTAAACTCATAGAGATTTACCAGCCTCTGCCTCCCAAGTACTGGGATTAAAGAAAGGCATATGTCACCATACTTGACATTGTGCCCCTGTTTACACAGTGCTTATATTCAGTTACTATGAATTGGCAGAGGACTTTTGTTTGCTTGAAATGGGGTTTTGAACTCATACCATAGACCAGGCTGGCCTTAATTCACAGAGACCTGCTTGCCTCTGCTTCCTGAGTACCAGGATTAAAGGTGTGAGGCACCATACCAGGCCCCTGGCAGGATGCTTTGAAGGTGGACTGACACTGACTGGACCGCCATCAGACCTTCCTAGGCCTAAAGCTCTTTGCCCTAAATCCCTCAGAACAGCCAGAATTAGTCATAAACTTGAGAGGGTTTAAGAGGCTGGCTTAAATACAAGATTCCTATTTCATCCACCCACCCTCCCCCTGTCATCTTTTAAGATCTACTTTGTGTTTCAGCATAAACTTATACAGAGACCCAGAATCTTGTGACAGAAGCTTGTAATTCACATTCTTGATGGAGCCCTGGGAAAAGGTGCACCCTAGCCTTCAAATTTAGATCAAGGTCCAGAAAGTTCTTAGACTCTGAGTCCATCATCAGTTTCCTAGACCCACAGCCTCTCCAGGTATCACTTACTTGTGGTTGAAAATCTTCCCAGATTGTGGTGAGCCTCTGTTTTACCTCCCTGTAATCCACAGGCAGCTGCAGAGTTCGAAGTTCTATGTTAGTATCCACCCCTAAGCCCAGCTTGGAGAGTTCCTGTAAAACACAGCGGGGGGGTGGGGGTGGGAGGGTTGCCTCAGTTCCCTGGGCACAAAAGTACCCAGACTGTATGCTCAGGGTCTTCTCTGAGCCCCAACCCATCCTTCCTGGTATGGAGGAACTCAAAGTGATCAGAAACCAGAAGAACAGCCCCAGCTCTCTCAGCTATCCTTCCTGAAATGGAGGCACCCTAGGGAGACACATCTGAACAAGCCTTGTTTGCAGCCCTGAGGTCTGTGGATTGATGAAGATGAGCCAGAGCGAGAGGCTGGGAACATACGTGGCAGCAGCAGAGGCTAGGGTAGCAGAAGGCAGCTCAAGAGCACCGAGGCCTTTGGGAAACTGGTATGACATGCCGTTCTCAGCAGCTGACAGGTGTCTTGCATGCCACAAGGCAAATAAATCATCTAGCCTTGCGCTCCTGCTGCTAATCCAAACACCAACTGTCTGGTGTAATCTGATGAGTCCCTAGTCATCTCTACCGAAGGGTACAACTGGGACACTCCACCCCAGGAAGGATGGAGATATGAAACTTGAGAAGGCTGCAGATCCTGGGTGGAGTGCTTAGTCGGGTGTGGACTTCTCTGGGACAATAGGAAGCCGCAGAAGGATTGCAGTCAGGAAACAAAGAGCGTAGAGCAACCTCTTAAGAAAATGGAGTGAGGTACAAGTAGGGTAGGGCTGTCTTGGGGTCAATGTGAAGTATCCAAAGGGAGCTGGTCTTGGCTCTGTGTGCCTGGAATTGGCAGAGAGGTTATTATGCAGATAAGATTTTAGAAGCAAAAGCCATGAATTTTATTTATTTATTTATTTATTTATTTATTTATTTATTTATTTATTGTGAGAGAGAGGACAGGAAAGGGAGGGTGGAGGAAAAGGAAAGAAGGAAGGAATGAGAAAGAGGAGGAGAGGGAAAGGGAAAGGCAGGAGGGAGGGAAGGGAGGGGAGGGGAGGGGAGGGGCAGGAAGTGACGCAAGGCTAGATGAGCTCGGGAAGGATGTGACCATCCTCCTTTCAGGCAGAGTAGAAATAGCATAGTTGGAAGAAAGAAAACCAGGACCTGAGATCTTAGACGTGTGTGCTCTCTCTTGGTCCCAGTTCAGCCAAGAATGTGAGGCCCAGCTCGTGCTTCCATTTCTGCCTGAACTGTTCCTGACTTCCTTTCCTGGCACTTCCGGGCACCCAACTGTATGCCTTCTAGGTAAGATGGCCGCCCACAGATCCCAGGCAGGCTCTTTCTCTGGGCTCTGGGGAGGTGGTCCTCAGAGGCAGGTGGATAGCCTCTCTGTCTGTGCTGATCTTCTCGGAGGATGAGGTGCTTCTAGACAAAGGTTGGAACCTCCCAAGCCTCGGCTTCCCTGCCTGTTCAAAACACAAGTGCCCCTCTCAGGGCTGTCATGAGAGTCAGGCAAGGCCGTACAGCTGGAGGGCCACTTGGAGGAAGATGCTCTTTGGATCTTGAAGGGTTAGTTTGGAGGTGTACAAAGATCCTCCTTTCTGCTTCCTTTCTCTCCCCCTTCCCAATTTGTCTTCCTGCTTTTCTTCCTTTCTTCCTTTCTTTGCATAATTCTTGCCTCTCCTTCCCTTCCTCTCATCCCCCCCACTCCTATCTACTCATCCTTCCCCCACCTTACCACGTGGTTACTGTTCATGAGTCTAAATAGTTTAATGATCATTTTCTCACAAGCTGGAATTGAAAGACCCCTGTGAGGGGAGACCCTCGCTCAAGTCGTGGGAATTCACAGCCACCCAGAAACTCAAGAGACTGAACTTGCTGCAAACTGAAAAAGGTTTTACTTCGGGATATCAGCCGGCTGAGGCCGAAACTCAGAAGAGGAGCGTCGACCCTGAGGCCAGAGGGAGAAGAGTATTTAAAGGAGAAAACCACAAATCAGGGGGGTACAACCCAAGGAGTAAGGGAGAATCATAAGAACATCAGCAGACAGTATCATAAAAACAGTGGAAGGTCCCCAGTCCATTCGATCCTGTGGGAAACACACCCTGTGTACTTATTTTTTCAAGAATTTAATCTTGTTTAATCATCTATCATGTGGCCAGCCAGTCCTTGGAATAGCCCAGATGATTGGTATTTTCTCTATGGTCAACCAGTTCCTAGAACCCAGAGCCCAGAGCCCAGAGCCTATGAACCTGATGACCTGCATTCTTGGTTCCGCCCTTTTGTGGTCCGATAAGTTCCTGGAGCACAGATGGTCTGGCTTCAGCCTCTATATGCTAGGGGTCTCAAAAAAGGTTTATTCTTTTCAGAATGAGAGAGAGAGAGAGAGAGAGTCCCGGCTAGAGGCTTGTGAAAGAGAACAGCAAAAGTCAGACCTGGGAGAAGCAGCATTACAGAGCCAAGAACAAGGCTGGGGCTGAGTGCTGGAGCAGCTTACGTCGCCTAGCATGAGCAAAGTCTTGGGTTCCATCCCAGAACTGAAGAAATGGAAGAAAAGGGCTGGTAGAAGGAGGAGGCAGAACGGAGTCTAGCCATCGGTGGACAGTGATGTAGCCATTAAAACAATGTAACGTAGACATTACAAAGACCACTGAAACTGAACTCCTCTGAGAAGGGAAGCTTACCAGCATGGTCAGCCCTGAGCGCAGAAACGCTATACTTGGTAAGATGTTTCCAGGCGTATCATGTACCAGTTTTCTGAGCGAATGAATAGTCCAGTCATCATCCAAGGCTGCACCTGAAGGACCCTTGGCACTCTGCTAAGCATCTCCCCACAGCCTTGAGAACAGTAGATACCAGCCCCATCCCACACAGGGGACAACCAAAGTCCACAGGGACACAATTAAATGGAAGACATTTCAGCGAACAGTGTCAAAAGAGATACAGGAGGAAGCTCAGGGACCCTAGAGGCTATCCACAGCCCTTACTCCTGTCTTGAGAATCCTGAGGTGCTGGTTAAAGGCAGCCTCGGATGACGGCTGGACTAGTCATTAACTCAGAATATTGGTACATTATATGCCTGAGTGTTGTTGAGTTCTGTCCTCCACATAGGGTGCTTGCCCTGTCCGTCTCCCGATATCCGTATGTGATTCTTCCAAACTGATGTGTCAGTCTTGCCCGGAAGATCCAGGATGAAACAACAGGGACCCTCTATCCAGTCACTGTCTCCAAATATTTTTGATCATGTGCCCCATTAATAAAAACGTTTGACACAGCGTGTCTGCCCCATTAGCTGGTGTCAGGGTGACACAAGGCACAATGCACACTTCAGTATCTCTTCCCTGGTGCTCTGTGATTAGGCTACATGACACTCACTCAGGACTCCGGCTTTGGGAGGGTCACGGGAATTGTCATTCCTCATTTCCGTGTGGTTCACATTAATTCATTTTATCCCCAATGTGTGATGTTGTTACAGATCATTTTTATGAGATTTCTTGGTCATAATGTGAGGATTAGTTTAATTAAGGCGGAATAGCGTGACCCCGGAACCCATTAACAGGTTGAAATGCTTTATAATGAACTGAGAGTAAGAAGAGGAAGACAAGCTTTTAAAGCAACTCTGTGTCTTTTCCCCAAAGGATCTCTAGGATCCTGGGCCTGAGGACCTGTGTAGACACCAAGCACGGCCGAAGGCCACGCTCTCCACTCACCACATATTGCTCAATGTTAAGTTCATGTTTGTATGGCCTATCCAGAGACCTTTGTATCCATGGAGGTAGCTGCTATTTAAAATAAGTAGAAAAAAATAGAAAATTGAGAGAGGGAAGGGGGATGGAGAGAGAGAGAGAGAGAGAGAGAGAGAGAGAGAGAGAGAGAGAGTGTTAAGGCCAAAGGGATGGCTCAGTGGTTAAGAGCACAGACTGTTCTTTCAGAGAACCTGAGTTCAACGGCCTGCACCCACATGCCTCACAAGTCTGCAGCTGTAGTCCCGTGGAATGTAGTGCCTTTTTCTGGTGTGCAAGATATACATGTAAACAAAACACCCATATACATAAAATAGATAAATAAATATTGAAGAGGAGGAGGAGGAGGAGGAGGAGGAGGAGGAGGAGGAGGAAGAGGAAGAGGAAGAGGAAGAAGAAGAAGAAGAAGAAGAAGAAGAAGAAGAAGAAGAAGAAGA